TCTGTGGGGCATGCTTTGCCCATATGGCTGGTTCCTGATAAAATGATCAGGGCACACATAAGCAGAGGGATGGCCATGGAAGGACACAGGGTAAGACACAGTGTTGGCAGGCCGCTGAGAAGGAAAGCCCTGGGAGGCACTGCCCTGTTCCCGACATCTTCATCCCACAGTCAGCTCCAGAGCTGTGAGAGAGACTTCAGCCCTCACACACCACGGAAGGCCATCAGCTTCGGGAACAAGTAGCGTCATACTGAACAAAGTGGCTTCGGCACCAGGGGGATGGTTTAAGCCGCACCCACAAAGTCGGGAGCCCACGGAGGTCTCAGCCGTGTCTGCAGAACTCCAGTTTCTCCCTTCTCTCTGCGACGTGTCCCTACAGCTCTCTGCTTTTGTGAAAAGGAGAAGCTTCCAGAAGATCTGCAGCAGCTTTCCCTCCCCCCTCATCTCCATGGTTGTGATGTACACTCATCTCCGTACCAGGAGCTGGCCAGGATGCAGTTACTGATAAAGGAAGAAAATGTGTAGCCACAATATGGGGAGCAGCCAGTGCACTGCCCTGCCCTGAGTGTCCACCTTGTCACCAGTGCTCTTGATTCTCAGATTCACCAACTTCTTAGCATTGTACCATGGTCATCTCTTACCTGGACTGCTGTGGCAGCCCATCAGCTATCACTATATACATCCTGGCCCTTTCTCCTCCATCTTGGGCTAAGGGTCTGCATGACATAGAAATCTCAAGTGTCAGTAAAGTCAGAAGACAGGTCTCTCTTGCCTCAGAGTGAAGACATCGTTCCTTGCGGCCCCACCCACCCTGCCACCTCAGCACATAACACGCAGTCCCTCCTCTTCTCCAGGGATCTGGGCTCCTGTTTTTTTCTCACTCTTCAGTCTTGCCTTGTACTTTTCCATCACAGTGTTTGTATACACAGTTTCTCTAATTCTTCTACTAGTCAATGATGCCTGATTCTCGGGGTCTCGGTGACTGGGGTCCTGGCACTGACTGTCATTTGCTTTCATTCTCATGCAGCCCTTTCACTGTGAGGTGACCGGTATGACGGCTTACACAGTAGCCAGTGCCCTCTCAGAGGGCCATGGTGAAGCTTAGAGGAATTGGTGACCTCTTGGACCCCACATTCAGTACAGTACCATTCTGCCAGGTACATCAAACAAGTACAGTCCTGGACTCAACCAAAACAAACACCTCAGTACCCCAGGGTGGAAGAGGCTGAGTCTGTGTGGTACTCTTCTGACCTGTGCCATCCACCCTGTTCTCCTGCTGTGTAATTCCCCCTTTCTGAAAGACAGCAGAGCCCTTCTGTAAGCCCTACCTGTAAGCCCTTCTCACCGAGTTGCAGAGCCTCTGAGTGTACACATTCTGAACTGTGATCCCAACCCTCTGAGAGGCAGTTTCAGCCTAAGTGAAGGTACTCAGGGTGTGATGACATAGAGGTTGACCCCAGGCTAGACCATCCATCTTTGAAATGGTCTGCAAAGGAATGGAGTCTGCAGTACACCTGCTTGTTGGAATATTACATTACAATTTTAAAGTAATTGATCATGCAGAGGTTAGTAGCCCATCCCCACAAACAACCCATGCTCTGCTTGTCCTAGAGGGCTGTAGAAAGTTCTGCGGGTCCTGTTCTCAGATGGGTCAGATGTCACTGGGCACGAGTGATGTCCTTTGGATGTTTCTTACCATATGGCTTCTCCTCTGGGATTGAGCTCAATGATATTCCAGGCAGATGTATACTCCTCCTATCCAGGCAGGGATGTGATTTGTGCTCAGTGACTTCTTTGTACCTCAAAGATAGCCAGTGTCGAGCATCAGATTCTTTTGCCACCAGAAGATACGGCACCAAAGAGCACACAGCCCCTGGAGGCCAGCGCCCACCTAATCTTATTGTGCCAATTCTCCTGCCATGTCCAGTGCAGGCTTTGTTCCATGCTGGCACTGGAAAGTGATACACAGTGATGCATGTCTGGAGATGGCCTATTATCTTAGTAACGGGGTCTGCTCTGGCGCCTGTGTCTAGAGATGGCCCATCACCTTAGTACCAGGGGTCACCTGAATTTTCTGTCCCCATTTTCAAAGTCTCCTCTGAGAGAGAGAGAGAAAGGAAGGCAGGAGGAGAGGAGGAAGCGCAGCAGGGAAGGAATTGGGAGACCCAGCTGGGCGGGTGGCTTGCCCTCTGGCAGGCAATGTGACCTGCCAGTGCCCCCATGAGGCTCCATTCCTGCCGCCTGCTCTAATAAACTCGAAACTCCAGTGGCTTACGTGAAGATTTCAGATTAACATTTAAATTAATGCTGGACTTGAAATATGGAGCCCAGGTCGCTGATGTGACTCTCCTTTAACATGTTCTGTGACCTGGGGCAGAAATTTAAAATGATCTTTTCTCAAAGAGCTCTTCCTCCTTGGGGAGGCCAAGGATGGTGTGGCAGTGCTGCAAGTACCCCTCCCATTCACCCGGTCCCTTACAGAGGCTAATGATGGCCTTTTGACTTTGAGAAGCTCCCTCAACTATGCCTATGGGTCCTCCCTGGGGGCCATAGACTTCTGAGTAGCCCCTCAATGACCCTGCCCCAGACTGACTGAGTCTCTGGGCTTATGATCAGGCTTAAATGCAGAAGCAACCCTGAGATCCTAAGACCCTAGATGAGGTTGTAATGTGATATGCATAGGAATAGCACCCAGCAAGTCTCTGGGATGGGAGAAACGGAGGCAGGACAGGTGGGAAAGGAAATTCCACAGAGGACACCACAGTTGTCCCCACCACCTCTCCAGCTACAGTCCACCCCAGGGAGGGTGACCATGACCTGAGACTTGCTGGCTAGAAAGGTTCCAGACACAGTACTTCCCAGGAGGGACCTTGAAGTACAAAGTCATCCCTCATCTCAAGGGTTCTTCCACCCTGCTTTCCCATGCTCATTTATTCCCACCGCAAATGCCTTCTCTTCCCCTCAGCTACTCAGGTTGAGGGGTATGGAGGCCCACTGCGAGGCACTGGACTCAGTGTTCCTCACCAGACATCTTATAGTGTCCTGCTACTGACCGCCAAAGACCAGCTCCAGCCAACATCTTCACTCTAGAAGTAGGACAAGAAAGGCCAAGGGTGAGCCGGCCCTATTGGAAGACTCCAGAATAAGCAGTTTTGGAGCCAACAGTCACCAGTGGGAGGAATGCTTGCTTTCCATGACCTGAGAGATCTGATGATAGCAGCCTCTCAGCCTCAGAGGTCATGTCAGCATAGTGACAATGGAATCATGGCCAGTTACACCATGACTAAGGCCAAGCAAATCTTCCATTCCCAAGACCATGGTTAAGGAGAAACCCCAGCTGTTCCTCTGGAGGCCTTAGGCTGCATGCACTGGATTTACCATCCAATAACAGTTTCACATCCAAGTGCTAACCAGGCTCAACCCTGCTTAGCTTCTCAACCTTCTGAGACCAGATAAGACTGAGAAAGTGGAGCTGTTCCCGGAATAATGGAGCCGGCCCAGTGATGTAACAATGGCTGGCAATAGCTGATTCTGACCTGGCTGTCATCAACAGCCTCAAGATCATAGCTGGGTTTGCATGACACTAAGGCTTTAGTTCCAAATCTGTAGCTGAGGCTAACTCAGAGCTGCTGAGCTGGATGTGCATGTGAAGCAGGTACCAGGGAAGTGGTTCTGTCCCTCCCAGCTAGGCCCACAGAGAGGGAAGCTCTAGCATTAGCCACAGGACAGCAGCAATGCCACCATAGAACCAGAGCAACATCTACCTAGCAAGTGCCTGGAAAGAGCAAACACACTGCTCCCAGCCATAACCCAGCCTGTGCCACCAGTTGCTACACCCTGGTACAAAATCAGAAGAATACCTAATCTGTAGTCAGATGTCAGTGGCAAAGGCTAGCTCTGGGCATGTGAGGTTACACTGCTCTAGCAAGGAGGCTCCAGGTTAGAGATTCAGGGTGGAAAGAGACCTCTCTGGGTCGCTCACCAGCCTGGTGAGCCATCTTGACTGACATGCAGCTATGTCTGCACAAATGCTGCCGCCTGGTGCTGGCCTTTTGTCCCACAGATAGATGAGGCAAGGAATCCAGAGTCAACTTCCGGTACAGCTGAGCAGGTTGGAGGTATCAAAGGCTTTATTAAGGGAACAGCTCTACTTGCTCAGACTTCACAGTGAGCACCTGAGAGGACGGGAGAAAGATTTTAGGCAGGTCTACCAGATCACGGAGTTAGGCCCTAGATTATGTTTCAGAGTCCACGGAAATGGACTTTTAAGAGCAGGGGGCAACTTTGGCCAACACACTTTCCTGTGGTGCAGGAGGCTACTTAGGTCAAAGCGAAGCCACCAGAGGGGCTCTGGGATATCTGATGAGCTGGCACCAGCAGCAGCCTTCCTCAGTTACAACACTGCATCTACATGCAAAGGAAAACATACGGTTTGAAAGACCGGAATAGAGGGACTGGAGAGATGGCTGGGGACGGGGGGTGGGGGGGGGGTGAGGTTAAATGCACTTTCTACTCTTGCAGAGGACCTGGGTTTGGTTTTAGCTATTATAGGGAAAGATTGTTTCTTAAATGCAGACCTTGGAGGGGAAAATCTTAGGTGAAGAATTGAATTGTCAGTTGAAACATACAGAACACAATAACAGAACGGTACAGAGGACCTAGGTATAGTTCCCAGAATCTGTCACCTCATCCAGTCAATGCCCTATTCTGGCGTCCATGTCCACCAGGCATGTACACGGTACACAGACAAATACTAATATATATAAATACAAACAAATGGTTTTTGTTTTTAGAAATTTAAAGACTACTGTACAGGTCTTGGTCCTTTTGTCTTTGGACACTGTAGAGCAGGGAGAGTCCACACACATCTGTGGTTGCAGGAGCTCTGTGCCGGAGGGTAAGGCACGCACTACCTCCACCCACCCTGCTCCTCCTTCTGACCACACCATCTGTCTTGTTTAGCATGCAGGGCCCTGATGGACGAGGTGGAGTATGACATCACAAAGGCCCGACAGAAGAAAACCAAGGTGGGCTCCTACCGAATCCGGCCTGACGGGACACAGGAAAGGAAAAAGGTAGCGGAAAAGGAATTATGTGCCAGTGTATAATTGCGGATATGGGCAATTACCAGCCATTTATCCAAACAGCAGTTGGTCTTAATCTTCTAACCTTGCTCTTGTTCAGGGTGTCAGCTCTAAATTGCTTCTGAGTCCTGGGGGACCCAAAGTAATCTTTAAGCTTGAAATTGAAGTATCTCTCTCAGCACCTAAATTTTGTGTTTTGTCAAGTTGGAAGACATTTCGGCCCCGTAGTTCATCAGAATAAAAAATAACGAGTCCATGGTTCCTGGGCAAGACCAGCAGGGAGCCCAGGGAGGTGACAGGGCAGATGCTCAAAGGCTGTGCAGAGCCCCTCTTGGGTACTCCACCCCTCCTCCTTCCCGATGTTACAGATTTCCAGTGTGGAGCACAAGCAGAGGGTAAGCTCTTCTCAGGATAGACAGGCCCAAGGCTAGAGAGTGGCTTCTCCTTCAGGAGTGTTCAAAGGGGACTTGCTCCAAGAGTTCACAGTGGCAGTTGCTACAAAGAAAGATTGGCTCAGCCTGCAGGCAGGAGGGCTGGCCAGCTGAGAGGAAGTCAGACATTTTAGGAAACATTGTTCCTTCTAAGCACAGATAGTGACACTGTCCTCCATGGTGTCCAGCCTAGGCAGAGCTGAACAGCCACAGAAACTAGATTCTTGCTGTCTTATCTCACGTGAAAGCAAACACGGAAACAATTTGTCTGTACATCATCTTCTTCCTGACATGGTATTCTCATGCATTGAGGAGAGGGGAAGAGCCCAGGCCTGTATGGAGGTTGACTTTGTGCGTGTGTGTGTGTGTGTGTGTGTTCACATCTGGCAGTATTGCTTTAAAAGAGTAATTTTATTGAGTAATTGGGGCAATAGGGAAAATAGAGGAAGCAAATACCATCCCATGGAAGGGCACGGAAAGGGTCCAGAGGGGTCAGAAGGAAGTGGGTGGCTGTTTGCTGGGAGCCGTAGTACCCCAGGCCTTAAGCAATTTCTAATCCTAGAAATGACCTTGCAGAAGAAGTAAGACCCTGTGGTACTGAGCACTGTGGAAGAGCCAGGCACACAGCTGCTCAGGGAGTTAGATGAACCGACTTGAGTATCTCCCTTCTCACCCTCCTGCAACATCCTGCAGTGACATCACCAAGGGCTGTCCACGTATGAATCCTCCACCTTTCCTGGGGTCCAATCCAAAAAAAAAAAAAGGAGTTACATTTACCACCCCCTTCTCCTGCATGACCCACCTTGGCAAGCTTAGTCCAAAGAGTTTTTCTGATTTCACAGGACACACGGTAACTTCAAAGAGCCCGCTCTGCCACATGAATCTTAGAACATTAGACACGGGCCAAACTCAAGGTGACAGTGGCTCAGGGATTGTCCTGGGCTCCTGCCTGTGTGGCATATCCTGTACACTCATCAGTTGCAGTTCTATTGCTGGGAGAACTGGCTTTGGGGCGGTCTGGTGATCAGTTTTCTGCCTCTGGCTGCCTCACAATGGAGTGATCTCCATAGCACCAATCAAAAAAACTTCCACTAGTTTCAGAGGAAACTGACTGGAGCGTTCCACATCTTTGCCTCTTAGGGAGCTCTTCTCTCTAGGATTCAGAGCCCCCCCCCCAGGAATTTGCTTCAATCCTAAACTACTTGGCCAAACCTTAACCACAGGAGTTTACATAATGTACCACAGAAGAGACAGCAGCTCAGGTCAGGCCTAGTCAGCTTGGACCAGGTCTGGGCCACATAGCCTTGCCAGTGGTGCAGATATAAAGGCATCCCTGTGTCCTTCCTGGAGCTCAGCATGGGACTCAGGAAACGAAATAAGGTGTTTCGTTACATGGCTGGACACTGGCTTTCTCACATACCTCTCTCATGCTCCATTCTTTTCCCTACATCTCTTCTTTGGAAAAAATTCCCTCTCTCAAGTTGCTTCCTTGCATCGGTCTATCCTGCACCCTCAATCTGGCACCCCTCTGGCACAAACTTTTCTCCCACACTACCTTTTTGGTCACCGGTATCATTTGTGGCCTTCAGAGAAACCTGCCCGCTCCAACACTCTTCCTGACTCTCCAGTAAGTAACGAAGCTCCCGGCAGGCAGCCAGATAGCCTGGATAAGTTCCTTGAGCCGTCAGGAACCAAGGACCACAGCCAACCACAGGAATCAGAATTCCGCAGGTCTCCTCCCCCCTCCTCTTCCCTCAGTGTTTGATTTGGCCTTCCCACCTTGTCTCTCTCTGGGTCCTGGATGGCTACTCTCAGCCCCTGTCCTGTTCTTTCCTCCTGGGCACCATATACCACATGTTCCTGAGTAAAAGCTACCATAGGCAAGGGGAAGCCATTTCCTAGAGCCATCACTTCTCTAAAAGATACTTTTCCTTTTATGTACTGTGCAACACCAGGACCCCCAGGGATATACTGTACTTAGGAGACCCTGCCTCCTAACAAATGAAGGGTGATGGCCATTGACCCAGTCAGCCAGGGTGCGAAAGGGTGGTTCAGTCCATCAGGAACTTTAGCCAATAAGGGTGAGAGCACTGCCAAAGGGGGGGTGTTCTTACGGCATCTAGTAAGACCAGGTGTCCCAGAGGCTTTCTAGTGGCAAACAGACCCATTGAAGTACTGGGATGCTACAGTGGACACTATCTCTTAGGAAGAGTCCTTACTCAAGAATTGTTCCACCTGGTAACTTGAATGTCCTCAGAGGGGAGGGAAGCACAAAGCCAGATTCTTCCCCTACAGCTCAGCACCTTCTTACTAAGCAAGCAGGCAGGATGGAGTTTTAGAAAACAGGTTTCATTTGAATATCCTTTGACATCATCTCCCAGCAAGCAGGGTGTTCTTGGCCAATTTTCCAGACATTCGTGAAGGAGTGGATAAGAAAGGCGTGTTCAGTTACAAGTGCTGTGTATTGCCTCAGCTATCATGCATGCACAGACTACCTACCTGGCTTGGTCAGAAATACTCTTCTCTTCCAAGGGAGTCTGTTCCATTCGCCTTGTTTTGCATGTAAACAAGATCTCCTACAGCCAAAGGGAGCACCACCACACCCAAAGGGAGCACCACCACACCCAAAGGGAGCACCACCACATCCAAAAGGAGCACCACCACACCCAGCCCCTTTCGTTTTGTTTGTAGGAAGAAACAAGCTGACCTTGGAGAACTGTCTTCCAGCACTGGAGGCTGGGGACAGGTGAGAGACCACACCTGTGAGCTTCCTCCATGGGGGATCTTAATACATCTCCCAGTACGTTCCAAAGCCATGTCTGGAATTTGCAATATAGATTAGGTAATTCAGAAGTCAGAGTCACCTTGGAGGTGTGGTATCAGGAATGATGTCCTCAGGTGGAGCCAGTGGCACAGGTCATGGACTCACAGTTTTGTATGTTGATGCCCTAGCTCAGTCACTGGACACAGGTTGTAATTCTCTATACTAGTTGTCTATGAGGCTGGGAAGTATGTTGTATGATTTTGACTGGAGGGTTCCTCTGCCCAGAGAAAAATCAAGACACATACTATCCATAAGAAGGCATTGGAACAGACAAATGCCACCAGCCAGGGCTGGTACTACAGGGGCCAACATTTTGCCAAGTCCAGACACTTATGTCTTTGGTTCCTTTTCTGTTTTTAACAGTTATCTTGGAAGTAAGCAACCCACTTGAATGGTTCCTTCTACAGACAGAAGATTGATTCAGGAATCATTAGTTAGTGACTTGGGTTTTTTTGTTTTGTTTTGTTTTCTGTTCTTGTTTTTTTTTTTTTAATGGCATTCATTTGATTTCTCGGGAAGCAAGACAAACCTCATTGTCATTTGCTGCTGGCAGAGCCACTGTGTCATGTTGTGTACTCTGCAACGTCAGAGTGCTCAGGCATCCTGAAGCTCTGCAGGTCCAACATATGCTTCTGCACTTGGGGTCCTGTCTGCTAACAAAAGAAGGGTGTTAGGTCATTGTCCCAGCCAGCCAGAAGGCAAAAATTTGTCAGGAACTTTAGCAGCTGTTAGTGACCTCTAAATCAGCATAATGGGGTATTTGTAAGAAAATATAAATGCCAGAAGTCATCTTCTAGAGAAGGAGAACTCTAAGCGGTGTTATTTTATATAAAACATTAACATAAGAAGTAGGCCATGTCTAAAAATCCAAACGCCACCATAGCAGGTGGCTGCCCCCAGCAAGGGAGAGTAGCCTGAAGACACTTTGTTTGAGAAGACTATTCACTCAACCTGGTAGGCAGCCGTGCTCATTCATGGCTGCCTGTGAAGAAAATGCCAAGTTTCTCTGAGTGCAGAGGCTCTGGCGGTCATGGCTCGGGGTTTAAAGGCCTGTAATATATTTTTATACAGATGGAGCCTAGACTGGGCACCCACACGAAGGGCCAAGCTCCGGTGACTGTATCCTTGGTGTTGCACTCACAGCCTTCATGAGTTGATGCCTAGACTGGGAATTGTAGATCAGATAAAGAATTCCTACCAGCCACTGAGATGGAAACTCTGGCTCCCAGTGTGAATGCATGCTGCAGAAGGCCACAGCAGGCTCTGGAGGGGTCTTAGACTAGCCTAGCAAGAGGACAGACAGTTTAGTGGACACTAGCGTTATGGAAAAATAAACAGTATCTCATTATACCCCTTTTTATAATTATGGGAAGTTTCAGCCCATTTTCCACGTCCAGACCCTTCCACCTCAGCCAAGAAGGCCTCACTCCCACATCTCGACCCATGGGTGTGGAACCTGCTATGACCCTCTCAGAGATACCCAAACTCAAGCCAAGGCTGGGTGCTGGCCTGTCTCAACTACAGAATGAAGATAGAAGTTAGTGCCCATTCTGTGTCACATCCCATGCAAGTGTGCCACTCAGGGGATACAGAGGCCAGTGGAACATGGGTTGTACTTGTCCTATAAGGAGTCCTATGAAGAAAACAGAGGGTGGGACCTTCCTTGACGTCAGGATATCTCTTTCCTTTCCATGACCTCTCAGCTACCTACCAAGGCATGAGCAAGTCTCTCTGTG